GGATTAAACGTTAAAAAAAAAAGAAATTTAAAATTTGATATGAATTTAAAAGGTAAACAAGTTTTCATTTCATGAGGCACATTTTTTTTAAAAAAAAAAAAAAATATTGAAAGTTGTACGAAAAAAAAAAAAAAAATTGTTTTAACGTTCCAGGATTTAAAAGAAAAAAGAAAAATTTAAATTTTTTACGAATCGATCCATGATATGACAAAAAAAAAAAAAATTTATTTCCGGTTGAATGAATGAATGAATGAATGAATGGCAGAAGTACTCATTCGTACAAAAGCGTTAATTAAATTTTTGTTTTGTTATTCGTTAAGATAAATTTCGTTATGGATGGTCAAGTTTTCCTTAGTTTTATTTTCTGGAAAATTTTTTGTTGGCTACTTTAATAACATTTTTCAAGTATGTCATCATCATCATCATCATCATCAAGGTATGGACAATAGGTTATTAATACGTCCTTGGTTGGCTTACATATATCTAGGTCAGGGTCTTTCACAAGCAGTCTAGTTGTCTGCAAGAAATGCAATCTTGAGGTCATTAACCTTTAACAAAACGTTACACTCATTAATTCATTTTATACTGTTATTTACTTTTGAGTTTTTTAAATCGAATTTTTTTTTTTTTTTCCAGAAGATTTTTCTAGTTTTTTTTTTAAGTTAACGGATTCAAAATCATTTCAAATTGGTTATAAATTGGATTTAAAAAAAAAAGAAAAAAACCAGATTTAATTATTATTAAATAAAAAAATTGTCAGGAATAAATAAAATAAAAATTTGTGTCGTTTAATTGTTAATAATATTTTGCAAAATATTTTTTTTATTTAAAAATTTTAGGTGGTATAGATGTGAGTGGATTTGTAAAAAAAAAAAAGGAAACAAGAAGATAATAATAATGAGTTCGATAAGTAGAAAATAAAAAAAAATTTATTATTTTAATATTGTGCCTTGTGTAAAATGTTTTTGGGTTGTCCGTGCGAAACAATAATTTTTTTTTTTTTTTTTTTCCTTGTTTCAAGTTAAGTTTTCCTCTGGCAATTTTTTTTTTATTCCAATACCTACCTACCTACCTACCTACCTACCTACCTACCCAGTGGTACGTAGGGATTTAAAAAAAAAAAAAATGAATCCACACGAGTTGATCTCTTTTCACGATACAATTTAAATCAGGTATTTTTTTTTTTTTACCTCTTTATATTAAAAAAATTTTTTTTTTGTGTGCGAGCATAAATAATTAAGTTTAATAACTAAAGAATAATAATAATAATAAATATTTATTATTATTATTATTATATTTTTAATTAATTCAAAATTTTTTATAATTTAAAAAAGAAAAACATTTTAAAAAAATGATTACCAGACCGAAAAAAATAATGATTTATTTTCGATTGGGGGAAAGGAGGGGAAGGAAAAAGGGGAAAAGGGAGGGGAGAGAGGAGGAGGAGGGGAAGGAGGGAAACTTATTAATTAATCGATAAAATAAATAAAATTTAAAAAAAATTTTTTTTTTTCATATATAACAACAGAAGTCGTCAAATTAAATCCTCCTCCACACAAACACACACACAATTATATGGGTTTAATGTCGTAACGATGTATGTCCAAATTTATATATTTAATAAGTTTTTTTTTTTTCCTCAACGTTACACATTAAAATATATATTGAAATGGGAGGGGGAGGGAAAGGAGGAAGAGGGGTAGGAGGAGGAGGATTTGCCACATAATAAAAATATTTACGTTCGTTTTAAAAAAAAAATAATTTTAAATTGGATAACACGAATAGTGTGAGTGAGTGAGTATTAGAAAGTTTAAATAAAACGATAAGACTACGCGGTTGGCATAAGAGAGAAGGCATGCATGTCTCTTCTTTTTTTTTTTTTTTTTTTTTTTTTTTTAATATATACCTGTGTTGAGGGTCCGGATTCAATGGTAAATTCACTCAGTATTCAATAAGTCTTCATGGCGAAAAGTTTTATTTATTTTTTTTTTTTTTAAACGAAATCTTTATTTTATTATTTTATTTTATTGTTGTGATATTATATAAAAATTTCTTTTATCAATAATGATACGGTTGTTATTATTTATATGTGATTTTTCTTTTTGTTTAAAAAAAAATGTTTTATGTTTAAAGGAAAAAGTTTTTTTTTTTTAAACACGATTTTATTTTTTATATTTTTACGTAAGTTTTATTATTATTATTATTATTTATTTATTTATCGAAACATATTTTAAAAGGATAGAAAAAAATTTTTTAAATATTTTTTACGTACGTTTACAAAAAAAAATTTATATTAATAATTTCTTTAGGTTTTTAAATTGGTATGT